ATGTGTGTGTGCAAACAAGGAGAGGGGCAGAGGGAAAGGGAGAGGGACAATCAGACTCCCCGCTGAACAGGGAGCCCAATGCGGGGCTTGATCCCAGGACCCTGGGATCATGACCTGAACCGAAGGCAGACACTTAACCAACTGAGCCACCCAGGTACCCCTGGACTGTATGGCAGTCCTATTTTTAATTTTTTGAGGAACTTCCATGCTGTTTTCCACAACGGTGCATCAATTTACATTCTTAGCAACAGTGCACAAGAGTTCCCTTTTCTCCACATCCTCATCAACACTTGTTTTTTCTTGTCTTTTTGATTCTAGCCATTCTGACTGCTGTGAGGCAGTATCTCATTGTGATTTTGCTTTGTATGTCCTAGCTCTTGAATAATGTTGAGCATCTTTTCATGTGTCTGTTGCCCATTTGTACGTCTTCTTTGGAAAGATGTCTATTCAGGTTCTCTGTCCATTTTTTAATCAGATTGGGGTGTTTTGGTTTGTTTTGTGTGTTGTTGTTTTTTTTTTTCTTTTTTGGTATTGAATTGTATGAGTTCTTCGTATATTTTGGAAATTAACCCCTTATCAGATATATCATTTGCAAATGTTTTCTCCCATTCAGTAGGTTGCCTGTGCATTTTGTTGATGGTTTCCTCTGATGTGCAAAAATCTTTTTAGCTTGACAAAATCCCAACAGCTTATTATTGCTTTTGTTTCTCTTGCCTTCCCTTTCCTTCCATAAATATGTTCCTAAGGCCAATGCCCAAGAGATTACTGCCTATATTATCCTTTAAAAGTTTTATGATTTTAGATCTTATATTTAGGTCTTTAATCCATTTTGAGTTTATTTTGCGTATGGTGTAAGAAAGTGATCCAGTTTCTTTTTTGCCTGTAGCTGCCAGTTTTCCCAACACCATTTATTGAAAAGACTGTCTTTTCTCCATTATATATTCTTGCGTCCTTTGTTGTAGATTAATAGACCATATAAGTGTGGATTTATTTCTGGGCTCTCTATCCTGTTCCATAGATCTATGTGTCTCTCTTTGTGCCATTACCATATCTTGTAACCTTTTCTGATTTAAAGTCTATTTTGTCTGATACTAGATAGTCTCCCTGCTCTCTTCTGGTTACTGTTCATATGGAATAGCCTTTTCTATTCTTTCACTTTTATGTCTGGATCTAAAGCAAGTCTCCCATAGACAACATATACTTGGGTCATGGCTTTTATCCATTTTGCCAATCTTTATCTTTTCATTGGAGAGTTTAATCCATTTACATTTAAAGTAATTACTGATAAGGAAGGACTTCTGTCATTTTGCTATTTGTTTTCTATTTGCCTTATAGCTTTTTGTTCCTCATGTCTTGCATTTACTGTCTTCTTTGCGTTTAATTTTTTAGTAGTGAAACATTCAAATTCCTTTCTCATTTCCTTTAGTACATATTCTATGGCTATTTTCTATGTGGTTACCATGGGAATGACATTTAACATCCTACAGTTATATCACTCTAATTGGAATTTATGCCAGTTTACCTTCAGTAACATCCAAAAACTCTGCTCCTTTAACAGCTCTGTTCTTACCCTTTCGGTTGTGGATATCACAGAATTATATATATATATATTTTTTTTTTTTTAAGATTTTATTTATTTGACAGAGAGAGCGAGAGCAGGAACACAAGCAGGGGGAGTGGGAGAGGGAGAAGCAGGCTTCCCGCCGAGCAGGGAGCCCGATGCGGGACTTGATCCCCGGACGCCGGCTGGGATCACGACCTGAGCCAAAGGCAGACGCCCAACGACTGAGCCACCCAGGCGCCCCTCACAGAATTATATTTTTATACATTGTGTGTAATGGTTACTCCTTACTATAAAAAGAAGCTGTGGAAACATTCAATAAACTGAATAAATATCCAGAGAATTATACTAAATGGAAAAAGCCAATCTCAAAAAGTTGCATACTGCATGATTCCACATATATAACATTCTTGACAAAATTATAGAAATGGAGAACACAGATTAATTGTTGTCTAGGGTGAAAGACGGGGTGAAGGAATAGGGAAGTAAAGTGTAGGTATAATAAGTCAACATGAGGGATCCCTGTGGTGATGGAAATGTTCCCTGTCTTGACTGTATCAATGTCAATATTCTGGTTGTGATATTGTATTATACGTGGGCAAGATGTTACTATGGGGGAAACTGGGTAATGGGTACATTGGATCTCTCTGCATTGTTTCTTACAATTGCATGTGAATCTATAATTATCTCAACATAAAAAGTTTAATTTTTAAAATACTAGAAACTTTTGTTATAAAAAGTTATCATTTATTAATTCTGTAATCATTTGTTAATTCCGAATGGTGGTGAAATCAGCATGTAGTTATAATAGCACTAAGAAAAACACAACCAGGGGTGCCTGGGTGGCTCAGTAGGTTATCTCAGGGTCCTGAGATGGAGTCGGGCTCTCTACTTAGCAGGGAGTCTGCTTCTCCCTCTCACTCTCCCTCTGTGCTCTCTCTCTCAAATAAATAAATAAATATCTTTAAAAAAGCAAAAGAAAGAAAAACACAATCAGCAATTCACAGAAGAAATCAATGACCGAGAAGAAACACTCAACATCTGAGGAAATAAAAATGAAAAGGATAGGAAGGAAATGAAATAAACAGAAAATAAAAGGAAATACAACTTTTCATCCACTTTTAAACTTTTGCAAAGATTAAAAAGGTTGAGAACAGTTGACCAGAGTGTGGAAATTAAGCACTGCAATACACTGCTGGTGAAACTATAATTGGTACAAAGTTTGAAAGGGGAATTTTGTGATTTCTTATCAAAAACTATGTCCTACAGTAATGCTTTTTTAGAAAATGAACACGAGGGGCGCCTAGGTGGCTCAGTCGTTAAGCGTCTGCCTTCAGCTCAGGTCATGATCCCAGGGTCCTGGGATCGAGTCCCGCATCGGTCTGCTCGGCGGGAAGCCTGCTTCTCCCCTTCCCCCTCCCTTTGCTTGTGTTCCCTCTCTCGCTGTGTTTCACTCTGTCAAATAAATAAAATCTTTAAAAATAAAAAAAAAAAAGAAAATGAACACGAATTATTATTGCAGCAATATATGTAAGAGCAAATAATGGGGGGGGGGGTGCCTGGGTGGCACAGTCAGTTAAGCCACTGACTCTTCTTTTTACCTCGGGTTGTGATCTCAGGGTAGTGAGATGGAGCCCCACGTTGGGCTCTGTGCTCAGCTCGGAGTCTGCTTAACATTCTCTTCTCTCAGGGCGCCTGGGTGGCTCAGTCGTTGGGCATCTGCCTTCGGCTCAGGTCATGATCTCGGGGTCCTGGGATCGAGCCCCGCATTGGGCTCCCCGCTCAGCGGGAAGCCTGCTTCTCCCTCTCCCACCCACCCCCCGCTTGTGTTCCCTCTCTCGCTGTGTCTCTCTCTGTCAAATAAATAAAATCTTAATTAAAAAAAAAAATTCTCTTCTCCCTAAGCCCCTCCGCTGCCCGTGCACACGCACATACTCTCTCTCTCTCTCTCTCTAAAATAAGCAGATGAATCATTGAAAAAAATAATTGGGGGAAAAAAATCTTAACCACGTTCATCACAGGAATGGTTAAAAATAAGGTGCTGTATGAACCAAGATGATGTTATATTGTTACTGTTAAGAAAAATGAGTTAAAGACTTGTAATGAGGGGGGAATGTCAACACATCCTCTTTAAACTTCCCTCCCCAAGATCAAACAAAGAGAATCCAAACTAGAGAGGAAACCTCCATCTTCTATGAGACCTTATGGTAGGCACAATCAGAAACTAACTCCGAAAAGCTGCCCAATACACTGGAATTTGGATAAAATCCTGGAAAGGCAGACACAGACCCTCTGTTGATCTCACACTGAGCACAGAGCCCTCCAAAACAGGCGACTCTCCCCAAGACCCCCACCAATACTCCTTTACCTGCGGGCCACTGGGGCACCGAACCATGTCCTGGAGAGGAGCCACCACGGCGGAGCCCCTGCAGCAAAGCCCGCGTGGATGATGTCTGGTACTGATGCTGTGCGGGGGAATGCCTGGGACCATACAGACCAGATCAGATCAGGCCAATTCTAGGAGTGGATGGGTTTTGAAGAGCAAAAAAGGTAAAGGGAGTCTCCTTGGCTTTTTTTTTTTTTTTTGCCCCCCAAGAGAAGTTGGCACACCATTTGTGTCACTTTTTCAAAATTCAGAGGGGTTTGTTTTGTTCGGTTTTTTGCCCTTTTTTTTTTTTTTTTTTTAGATTTATTTGTTTATCCTAGAGGGAGAAAGCGCACTCGAGCTTGGGGGGAGGGGGCGGAGGGCAGAGGGAGAGGGAAAGGGAATCTCAAGCAGACTCCATCTGGAACCCCTATGGAAGGCGGTGCTCAATTCCAGGACTCTGGGATCATGACCTGAGCAGAAATCAGGAGCTTTGGGGATGCTTAATTGACTAAGCAGAAATCAGGATCTTTTGGAATGCTTAATTGACTAAGCCACGTAGGCGCCCCTGTTTTTTGTTTGTTTGTTTTTGCTTTTTTAAAGTAGGCTCCACGCCCAGCTGGTGGTTAACACAGGGCTCAAACTCAGGACCCGGGAGATCAAGACCTGAACTGAAATCAAGAGCTTCACACTTAACCAACCCACTGAACCACCCAGACCCCCTCAAAGATCAGTTTTTAAAAAATGCAAGCAAGCCCAAAGTGTAAATGCAGACACCTGGAGGAAAAGTCAGGGATCCTCGGTTTCAATCCTGTACCTGCTCATAATTCATCCTGCCACCCCACAAACATACTGTGTTACTTCCAGCATCTGTAAAAAGCTAATAAACACATCCGCCGGCCACCACGACAATCAACGGAAAGGAGGTTTCAATTCCGGGGCCCCAATTCTATCAGGAGCAGAAGCGCCTCCCTTACCAGGTAGTTTCGCTGGGGCCGAGGGCATTTCGGGACTTGTAGTCCAGCCAATGGAACTCGTCATCCCGGCAGGCCCTGCGGCTCGTCAAGGTTACGTGCTGCCGCCGCCTGCGGCTGTGGATACAAGTGCCGGGCGGATGCAGAGCGGGTCTAAGAAGGGTGTTTTGCGGCCCGCGGAGGCGCGCTTTACTTCCACATCGGGGAGACCGAAAAGAAGTGCTTTATTGAGGAGATTCCGGACGAGACCATGGTTATAGGTGCGGGTGGAAGGGGAGAGTTTGGAACAAGACCTTGGTCTTGGGGCGGGGGGCGCGGGAGAGTCCGCTCTTCCAGAGCGGGGAGCAGCGGGTCTCGCCGCGTCCTGGCGGGGGCCGACTCGACCCCACCTCGCGCTCGTCTGACCTGGGTTCGCCCCACTTCCCTCCAGGAAACTACCGGACACAGCTGTATGACAAGCAGCGGGAGGAGTACCAGCCGGCCACCCCCGGGCTTGGTATGTTCGTGGAGGTGAAGGACCCAGAGGACAAGGTGAGCCGGCCCCTGAGCCCCGCCGAGCCCTCCGCTCTGCACTTCAGCGCCAGACCAGGCGGGTGCTGGTACTTCCCTCCTACTCGCCGCAGCCGCTCAACTGCTGGCCGTCATTGGGGGTTGGTGAGAAGATCCCGGGTTTTCGCTCTAGGCCAAACTTGGGCTGCTGTAGGCTAGCTGCTCCTCTCAGCTTCCCGACGGCTGCATGACTCCGCCAAGCCCCTTCCCTGCCCCGAGCCGTTTTCCTGGCCTGTGACATGGAAACGCACCTGTCTTGTAGGCGTGCTTCGTGGGTAAATTGTGGTGTTGGCCATCAAAGAATTTCGTTAACTCTAATGCTGTGATGTCTAGACTTGAGGAGTTCACAGAACGGGGTGCTTTCCAAAACGAATGAGCGGCTTTTACTTTCGACGAATAAGGATATTAAAGCAAAAGAAAAAAAAACCTTTAGTTGCCACCTTTGGTTTAAGAAAAGAACCACACCAAAAGAGCGGAAATGGCAGGAGCTCCAATAAAGAGCCCTTCCCAAGAGCAGTCACGTGTCAGCTCCATCTCAGACGCTTCACCCCTTACCCCAGAAGGTTCTCAGACAAGCTTTTGGCAACTGCTGCTGCGCAGCTCTAGACCTTTTAGTGTTGCGAGGTGCCTAAGGCTCTGTTTGCCAACTTTTGAGGCACTGAGAGCCTGAAGCCCTGTTTCTTTCCAGCCCAATCCCCCTGTAACACTTGCTGAAGCCCCTTCTCCCCAGATCATCCGGGCCCAGCAGTATGGCTCTGAAGGCAGGTTCACTTTCACTTCCCATACCCCAGGGGAACACCAGATCTGTCCTGTGGTCTCTTAGAGTTGGGATTATGATATAGTGGCCTTCTTTTGATTTCTCAGATTGCCATATTCTTTTTTGGTTTAGGGCTCCTGTATGTGCTAGTCCTGGCCAGAACGCACTTCCCCCAGCTAACTCCTACTAATCATGAATGCAATTCTAAAAAGCAGCCTTTCCGGACCATCTCGATTAGACCAGAGCTAGTATCATGTCATTCTCAGCAAATACCCTTCTCAGAAGCATGCATCACCTTTACCTGTTGTTCAAGCCCTGCCTCATTTGGTATCAGACCATAGGCTCCATGTGCAAAAATGTGCCTGTCTGGATCACTCTGCTGCTCCTATGGCAGAGAGCAGAGCACCCCCCCACACACACACTCACACCCCTTCAGGTAAGGGTAATGGGCCCTAAGATCACAAACTGTGGTCTGAGGTTACTCTCCAGTGGTTCCCCACCAGCCGTCAGTTCAGTCCACTCATACTTTCCAGAGGCCAGTCATGACCACGCCCACAAATGAACGAATCTCCAAGGCTTGCAGTGTCCCTAAAACATATCCTAGGGGTGGGTGTGTCTCTCTCAGGGGCCAAGTGCTGGGGCTGTCCCCACATCCCTCTCCTCATGGGGAGTCTCCCTTTAATAACATCCTTAGCCTTGATGATTTAGACTTCATTTTGTTGAGGGTGCCAGCCAGTGAATTTCCTTATCACAGAAAATGTCAGATTCACATGGGAGATGACTATTCCAACAGGGCAACCAGCAGAGGTAAAATGTGGGCTAGAGCAGGCAGATGCGGTGGGTGCATAGATGCCTGGTCATCTACACCTGTGTGCACATGTGAAGGTCAAGTTATAGGAGATGCTGACTATAATGGAAACTATTACTTGGAATCCTTTTTTTTTTTTTTAAAGGAGAAAAGAAAGCATCTCCTGAAAAAAAATTAACCTGTAACATCATAAAGAGAGACACAAGTTGGCTGAAAAATAGTGGGAAGACAGAGGTGCTCATCCGACTACCTGGAAGAACCCAGCAGAAGAGCACATGAACCTGACCAGAGCCCACAAAGAAGCACAGGATCACCACAAGCACTCAGGTTACCCATAAGATGGGCCCAAATTGGACCTTTCTGGAAAGGGCTCCACAGGTTGCTAAGGCTTTTGGAGAACAAGCTTTCTTCATCCCATCCATTTCAGGATCAGTCCCCACCAATGCATGCAAAGCCTCACATGTTAATATCTGGTTAGAAACAAAACACCAGAATGAATTGCAGAGCGGGAGGCAATAAATGTTTAGGTCAGAAAGGTTGCAGTTTATAGTCACTCTTTTTTTTTTTGAGACAGAATGAGAGACAGAGAGCATGAGAGGGAGGAGGGTCAGAGGGAGAAGCAGACTCCCTGCCGAGCAGGGAGCCCAATGCGGGACTCGATCCCGGGACTCCAGGATCATGACCTGAGCCGAAGGCAGTCGCTTAACCAGCTGAGCCACCCAGGCGCCCTATAGTCACTCTTAATTCATGCTTAATTCTCTCCATCTTGGGACAGTTCATCCATTCGGTTTAGCCAGGGGTGTGGGGCACCCTCACCTTCCTCTTCAACAGCACAGAGCCACAAAATCCTGCAGCTCCCTGACCAAGCATCTAGTGGGCAACCCATCCTCTCCCAAATGCTGGCTGAGAAACCAGTTGAAAGAGGTCCTCTGTCCCCCCTGCAGGGTTGGGGGATTGGGAGCCAGGAAATAGACCAGGCCAGGTCACTTTCCATCAGTTAACAGAAGGGGAATGAGTTGGGGCTAGGTGTCTGGGGCCCAACTACACCAGCTTCTTGGCTTTAAAGAAACTCTTGAGGTGCTGCATCTGCCAGACACCCGTGGCAACCAGGATGAAGGTCTGCAGAATGGACCACCACAGGACCCGCTGGTTGGTGCTCTCGCTGGTCTGCCGGAAGCGCTCCTCTCGCCACTGCGGGAGGAGAGAAGGGAGAAGCCGCCTGTCTAGAACTGAATTTCACCCCCACACCCTCAGGGGGAAGAGCCAGAAGAGCCACTTCCCAGGAGGTCACACAGCCCCTGCCCCAGCTGTGCCAACCCAGCCCCTCACCCTCTGATACTCCTGCTCCTTCTGGATCAACTCCACCTGCTCCACAAGCTGCTGTACACGCAGATGCATCTGGGTCAGCTTGTCCTTGGCTGCAAATTCCGCATAATCGTTGGTGTGTTCACCCAACTGCATGTCCAAGTGAATGGCCTGGAACAGGGGAACCCAGGATGGGGGTCAGGGGAGCTTAGCTCTGTGAACCTGCCAGAAATCTAGCTTCTACATCTCTGTCTGGACCTGATGCTGGCAGCTCCATTCCTCACACACCGACTTGGTGACTGGCCCTGCTCAGGGGGTCAAAACACCAGATCGGGACCCTGCTTGTGTGGAGTTCTACATTCAAAACACAAAGGATGGGACTACACGTGCAGAGAAATAGAGATGTGACTCTGAGCCAGGCAGTTTACTAGAAGTTCTGTATGGGGAGGTGACAGGGGAGAGCCCTGAAGCACTCGGGCAGAATAGCTCTGACTCTCACGCTATGAAGCTTGGTCTTTATCCTAGGGTTGGCTGGGAGCCAAGGGAGAGTTTGTGTTTTTTTGTTGTTGGTTTTTTTTTTTTTTTTGCTGTCAAATTTTCTTTTATTTTTTTACGTTAATCACCATACATTACATCATTCGTTCTTTTTTTTTAAGATTTTTTTTTATTTATTTGACAGAGACACAGCGAGAGAGGGAACACAAGCAAGGGGAGAGGGAGAGGGAGAAGCAGGCTTCCCGCAGAGCAGGGAGCCCGATGCGGGGCTCGATCCCAGGACCCCGGGATCATGACCTGAGCCGAAGGCAGACGCTTAACGACTGAGCCACCCAGGTGCCCCTACATCATTAGTTTTTGATTTAGTGTTCCATGATTCATTGTTTGCGTGTAACACCCAGTGCTCCATGCAGAACGTGCCCTCTTTAATACCCATCACCATGTGGCTCAGATGGTTAAGCGTCTGCCTTCGGCTCAGGTCATGATCCCAGGGTCCTGGGATTGAGCCCCACATCGGGCTCCTGGCTCAGCGAGGAACCTACTTCTCCCTCTCCCTCTGCCTCTCTCCCTGCTCATGCTTTCTCTCTATCTCTGTGTCTCAAATGAATAAATAAAATCTTAAAAAAAAAAAAAAAATACCCATCACCAGGCTAACACATCCCTCCACCCCTCTCCCCTCTAGAACCCTCAGTTTGTTTCTCAGGGTCCATAATCTCTCATGGTTTGTCTCCCCCTCCGATTTCCCCCCCTTCATTTTTCCCATCCTGCTATCTTTTTTTTTTAACATACAATGTATTTGTTTCAGGGGTACAGGTCTGTGATTCAACAGTCTTACACAATTCACAGCACTCACCATAGCACATACCCTCCCCAACGTCTGTCACCCAGCCACCCTATCCCTCCCACCCCCCTCCACTCCAGCAACCCTCAGTTTGTTTCCTGAGATTAAGAATTCCTCATGTCAGTGAGGTCATATGATACATCTTTCTCTGATTGACTTATTTCGCTCAGCATAATACCCTCCAGTTCCATCCACATCGTTGCAAATGGCATATGGAGGCTCCTCAAAAAGTTGAGAATAGAGCTACCGTTCGACCCAGCAATTGCACTACTGGGTATTTACCCCAAGATACAAATGTAGGGATCCGAAGGGGTACGTGCACCCCGATGTTTATAGCAGCAATGTCCAAGGGAGAGTTTTAAGTCAGAGTGACTCCCTCCCAAGGTCCCCTTTCATCCTCAAGAGTGGTTCTTGGGATGCGTCAGGTAAAGTCCCTGCCCTACTCAATAGGCACCACCCACCACACCCCTCTCACTCTAGAGGCCAAGGAATTGAGACCCTGGGGACGGGGGCCTCCCGCCTGCCACACTCACCAGCTTGCCATCATAGAAGAGGGCGAACCGGATGGACTCAAGGTGGAGGCAGATCTGGTGCTCTCCGGGAGACTGGGAGGTGAAGGTGAAGCTGCCCTGAGGGCCGTACTGTCGGGCCAGAAGGTTCTAAAGGAAGCAGCATCCAGTGAGCACAGAGAAGTTAGCCTTGTACCTGCTCCCAGGAGAATTCTGGGGGTATCCCAGGTGAAGACCCCCGCAGGCCAGAGGGGTGGGTGTGAGGGAAATGGCATCGGTTTGGCTGGAAAGTCTCAGATGCCAGCACTGCTAATACAGAATACAGATGGCAAAGACCATGGCCCTCCTTGAGCTAGCCTGCCTGTGAGGAGACAGATCCTTCTGTGAGAAATGAAGGACCGACCAGAGAGGGCTACGCATTGACGCTGGGCGTTGGGGGGCCTGCAAGGAGTAAAGGCCTGCCTCACCTTGTTCTCGGGGTCTTTCACAAACACGAACAAATTGATCCACTGCGGGGAGGGCTGGTACTTTTCCATAGCGGGGTCGTAGAGCTCCGTCTTGTAGTTACCTAACGGAGAGCCAACAGGTGCATTCCGTCCATCCCCGTGACCAAGTCATGGTGGTCGGGGGTGGGGGTCGAGGGACAGAAAGATCTCGAGTCTGAGGATCCTGACCAAGGCCCTCCGCTTCTCCTCCCTTCTCCAGCACCACTTCTTTGCCGTCCTTCGAGTCTGGATAAGACTCGGCGCCCCGCACAAGCAAGAGAGAGGATGCCTTGGCCAGACTTCTGTCCACCCATTCCCTCCCGCCCCAGCCCACCCCCAGCAGGGGAGGGAAGGTGAGGACCTGAGCTGGTGCCACGGCGCCCCATTCCCCTCCCCTCTCAGGACTCTGGGTGCAGGGAGGGCAAGGCCGGGAGTGGCGGGCGCGCGCACCTATGACCACGGTACCATCGGGGATCTCCTGTATGAAGCACTTCTCCTCCAGCTCGCGGACCTCGAAGTAGAACGCGCCCCCATGGCCCATGAGCGCCAGCAGCTGCCCCAGCAGCAACAGCAGGGCCATACCGGTTGCTTGCGCTCTGCCCCATCCCCGCCCGGGGTCAGGCCCGGGCCCAGCCCCTCGAGCCCCGCAGGCCCCCGCCACCTTCGCAGGCGAGTCCACGGGTCTCCGCGCGGAGCGTACGGAGACTGCGAGCGCGCTCGCGGACTACAACTCCCGGGAGTCCCCGCGCGGCCCCGCCCCCGGCGCGTTCCTGCTGCTCCGCGCTGCGGAGGGGCCACGCAAGCCCCGACCCAACCAGCGCCAGGCTCTGGAGCGATTTCCACCGCCCCGCATCTCTTACTCCGCGCAGAAACTCGAGGACGCATGGGTGCTGTTAGCCCTTCTTGCTGATTGGGGTAACAGCCTCAAAGAGGAGAGGGGGCTTGCCCTCTGCAACTTGCAGGGCAGCCACCCCAGATGTGTGCGGAAGGGATGGGGCTAATGGGAAGTATATTACCTGGACTTCAACCTCGAAGAGCTTAGAATCGATTGGGGGAAGGAGGTGACATGGTGAGACGGAATGAGAAGCCCTGAAGCAGTAATTCAGGAAGGGGAGGGGGAAATGTCGCGGTTTTCATGGTAGAGATAGATTTGACTCAAGCCTTGAAGGATGGTTAAAATCTCCCCGAGCAGCGGGGAACAAGAGCAGTTTAGGCAGGGGAACCCAGGATTGCCTAGCAGCCAGTTGGCCGCTTAAGGGACTGGGGGAAGAAAAGTTATAGGAACGTGGAGGGAGGAGGTAATTGGACTGAATCTGAGGGCGCAGGAGGTGCTGAGCACACTTCAACAGGGGAGCCCTTCCTCCAGTGTACTTTTCTCTGCATTGGGACCAAAAAGGTTGTGGGTGAGCCTGGAGGGAAGAGAAGATGGCAAGCAAGCCACTGGAAAAGGATAGGGGTACACAACTGAAAGGAGTGGGAGGGTGAAGCCAACATGACAAAATGGGGACCCAGAAAAAGCAAGTCTCGAGAATTCCAAAGTTCACAATGCCCAGGGTAGAACACTGTAGACCCAAACATGTCAGTAGAAATATGTAGCCCAACCCAGGTAATGGGATGAAGTCTTCCACCTCCTAGTGCCCAGTGATAAGAGATGCTCCTTAGTTTATTCAGTAATATGTGGTGATGACGACGATGATGATGATCTTTATACATATATATATAATCTCAATACAGTGTCTTAAGATTGACAATATGGGGGCATCTGGATGGCTCAGATGGTTAAGCATCTGCCTTTGGCTCAGGTCATGGTCTCAGGGTCCTGGGATGGAGCCCTACATGGGCTCCCTGCACAGCAGGGAGTCTGATTCTCCCTATCCCTCTGCCCGCCCCTCCCCCTGCTTGTGTGTTCTCTCTCTCTGTCAAATAAATAAATAAGAATATTAAAAAAAAAAAGATTGACAATATGTTTTAGATACCAGGAATGGTCCCCTCATTTTAGTGGTGTAGCTCGTTGGCAGTGTTTTTTATTTCTTCACTGGGAATGATCATTAAACAAAAATGACAGATTCGGATGTTAACAAAAGTCATACATTAGAAAGGTCAAATAAGACAAAAGCTGAAAAGCATCTGTTGGAGATTTGGGAGCTAGTTGTTCACCAGGGGTGCAGCCCAAGCTGGGAGCAGAGGCAGAAAAGCCAGGATTCAGTCCTGGGAAGCGAGGTGCTGTCCGTGGTCCTGAAGCGTGGTTCCTCTCTAGACCAGTACCACCGCCTGTAGTAAAGCATTGGCTGTTTTATTTTTAATAAAATTTGCAATCCCTCACAAGCCAATGCTCCTATAAAATACAATAAAAAATGAAACTAATCATGTGCTTGGATATCACATCAATATTAAATTTCTGTAAAAATTCCTAAATGCTTAGTCAATTTCCGTACTTACCTCATTGCAGACCTGTAACAAACATGGACCAGTACCAGCCCCCACACCACACTGTGAATACCACTCTTGCATGGCAGTGGTCCATTGGCCAGACTACTCACAGGAATCTCCCAAAGTGTACAAAGTGGAAAATGCTTGCAGCTACATGTATGTAGGAGATAGTGCACCAGTGAGATTTCAAGGCCCAGAAACCAGACATTAGGAAGGGGGAACATGACTGTCCAAGTAGCAAAAGTGTTTTGTTAAAAACAGAACAACCTGGGCGCCTGGGTGGCTCAGTCGTTGGGTGTCTGCCTTTGGCTCAGGTCATGATCCCAGGGTCCTGGGATCGAGTCCCGCATCGGGCTCCCTGCTCAGCGGGAGGCCTGCTTCTCCCTCTCCCACTCCCCCTGCTTGTGTTCCTGCTCTCACTGTGTCTCTCTCTGTCAAATAAATAAATAAAACCTTTAAAAAAAAAAAAAAACAGAACAACCTGGGGGTGCCCAGGTGGCTCAGTCAGTAAAGCATCTGACTTTGGCTGGGGTCCTGGTCTCAGGGTCCTGGGATAGGGTCTCATGGGGGTGGGTGGGTGGGGCGGCTCTCTCTCTCTCTCTCTCCAAGAAAGAAAGAAAAAGAAAGAAAGAAAGAAAAGAAAGGAAGAAAGAAAGAAAAAGAAAGAAAAAAAGAAAGAAAGAAAGAAAGAAAGAAGGAAGGAAGGAAGGAAGGAAGGAAGGAAGGAAGGAAGGAAGGAAGGAAGAAGGAAGGAAGGAAAGAACCTGTTTCTGACTGATGACAAGGCTAGGAACATGAGAGCAATGAACCCACCCTTCTGGAATCCACTTGGTAAAAACCTCATTCTGCAATGGCTGCCAATATCACTGAACCTGGGTGCCATTTGTGAGATTCAAAGAAGACACTGGGGTGCTACATCTACTTGCCTCATCTGTGGTTCCTCCAAGACATCAGACTTCCACAGGTTTGTTTTTTTTAAAAGGAGATATTTATTTGAAGAAATATTACAGCATATAAAACTGCATAAAGGGGCACCTGGGTGGCTCAGTCGTTAAGCATCTGCCTTTGGCTTGGCTCATGATCCCAGGGTCCTGGGATTGAGCCCCGCATCGGGCTCCCTGGTCGGTGGGAAGCCTGCTTCTCCCTCTCCCACTCCCCCTGCTTGTGTTCCCTCTCTCACTGTCTCTCTGTCAAATAAATAAATAATCTTTAAAAAAAAAGTGTTTCTTAGAACATGTCTAGTCTTCTCTTGGAGATTACGATACTGAAGAATTAAGAATCATTTAAAAAAAAAACTGCCTAAAGACTTAATTTCCATTCATACAGTAGTAGATTTGATATAATTCATATAAAAAACTTTTTTTAAAAATCCAGAATCAGGGATGCCTGGATGGCTCAGTCAGCTAAGTGTCTGCCTCAGGCTCAGGTCATGATCCTAGGGTCCTGGGATCAGTCTTCTTGCTCAGCCGGGAGCCTGCTTCTCCCTCTACCTGCCACTCCCCCCTGCTTGTGCTCTCTCTCTCTCTGACAAATAAATAAATAAAATCTTTAAAAAAAAATCCAGAGTCACAAAACCCAGGGAAATCCAGGCTTCTACCACCTGCAGTGCCCTTTCTGGGGAATGCCCTGAGCCTCCATCCCTACCTCCTCCACTTGCCTCATTCCTATTTATCCTTTCAAGACTCAAGTCCAGCAGCATTGTCATATTTGTTTCCTCCTCCTGGGGGCTTTGTCAATGCCTCTATTGCTATGTTAACCACATTGAATTGCAATAGTCCATTCACAAGCAAGGCACTCCCGGGCTGATAGCTGGAAGAGACATTTATCTCTGTGCTCCCCACAGCCTAGCAAAGAGCTAGCAACAGCATCAGTAGGCAGTTGATGTCTGCTTGGAGAAAGGGAAGAGAGAGGAAAGAAAGAGAGAAGGGAGAGAGTATGGAGGGAAAAGAAGGGAGACGCATGAAAATGAAAGAGAAGATGGAAGAAGAAGGAAACAGTGAAGGACAGAAGAGGGAAGGAGGAAGGCAGAGGGAAGCAAGCAAGGAAGAAGGAGGGGGGAGAGAAAGAGGGAAGAAGGGTAATGATGACTCGTAATTATAGGAAAAGCCAAAATCTCCATACTCTATGTCTGGTTTTCTTGTGATGTCTCCTCCTGATTATTTCCATAGGCATCCTGACCTGGGCATGCTTAGGGTGGGGATGCATCAGGGATAGAATGTTCTGTACATAAAATCAGAGTTGGGCACCTGGGTGGTTCAGATGGTTAAGCGTCTGCCTTCAGCTCAGGTCATGATCCCAGAGTCCTGGGATCGAGTCCCGCATCAGGCTCCCTGCTCCTTGAGATCCTGCTTTTCCCTCTGCCTCTCTCTCTCTCTCTCTCTCTCTCTGTCTGTCATGAATAAATAAATAACATCTTTTAAAAAAATTAAAATAAAATAAAAATAAAATCAGAGCTGCCCTGTGCAATTCTTCTGCTCTGGTGTTGGGTGGATTCTTTTGGTTTGCTGCTGATTTTCACACCATCCCCAGAGCAGGACCATGCCACTGTCCCTTCCTCTGAACCACTGCCTTCTACACTCATTTTCCCCCTGGCCTGTGGAAAAACAACTTCCATTCCTTGTGACCATCTCTACAAAGAGAATTCCTAAGAAAGTTCTTTTCCTTGTGCTCTCTATCCCAGAACACCTAGACATGGGGGTGGTGGTGCTGAATTCAGGGATATCACAAACAATGTTTTGCTGAACCTGCTTCACCACCCTCCTTAGGCTTACAGTGGTCCCTCTAACAGGATCCTTACACTCCTGGTGAGTTTTGTCAGGAGTCTCACTGGGTCACCAGTCCATCCCTCCTGGGGCAGTCTGTCCCACAGGTCTGTGCCTGACTGAACCCTAACTGAGGGCTTGTGTCCTCCTGCCCTCCAACACTCTGGGGGTTCCCATAGGTAGGGCAAATCAGGAGAGTGGCCAGGCTGTGCCTCAGTCCCTGAGAGTCAGGAAACCATTGACCCCAAGACTCAGAGGACTTCTAGGGGAAATGTGGCCAAACGCTACATACCTGCCCACCTAAGTCTCAGCTCTACTACAGCCAAAATGCCATGATGTTTTTCCCACAGTAAAATGTTTGCAGTCCCCTCAAAGTTCTCTGTCTTCTAAACATCTCTTCTGGACAGTTGAAGAAATGCACAGACTTGACTGAGGCACCAGAACACTTCTCTGGGTTCCGCTCCCTCCAAGGGCATATCCT